GGGAGCCGGCTGAGCCGGGCCGGTGGGTGCGGGGCGCGGGCGGCGCCGGGCAGGGTGACCCCTGCCACCGCTAATAGGATCGGCGCGTGAGCGGCTTTGTGCGGAGCGTGGGGTAATCCGGGGCGGAACGCGGCGGCGGGGCCGCGGGGCCGCCCGATTGCGGGGATACGGCGGCGGGGTTCGGCTGTAGGAGCGGTGCCGGAGTCCCTCGACCGGGCCCGGCGGCGCGGTGGCGGCGGATGGCGGAGCGCCAATGAGCGGCGCGGCGCTCCCCTAGCAACAGGGCCGCGCCAATGGGCGCCCGCGGCCGCCAGCAGCGCTGCCCGCGCCCCGCAGTCCTTCCCCGGTCCGGGGAAGGGCTGGGGGCAGCGTCGCTCCGTGCCTTCCCCGCGCCGTGCCTGCCCGCATCCCGCGCGGCATCGCCTCCCGGCGGGTAAAGTCCAATCCCGTTTAGCCTCCTCGCGAGGGCATAGGGGTTTAGGCAGGCACGCGCCCCCCGAGATTAGGGGCTGCGCTCAGTCCGCCCCGCAGCCGGCGGCGGGCGGTTTGCAGCCGGCGGGGCGGTGGGGAGCGCTGAGGCGTCCCCGGGGTGCATTTGTGCCAGGGATGGGGCATGCTGCGGTGGCATAATTACAGACCGGTAACGCTCGGGGGGTGGTTGCTTTGAGGCTGCTGTAACGTGGCACTCAGAAGGATAATCGGTGACATTATACAGGTCCCAAACAAACTGAGCCTGGAAGCGTGTCCCAGGAACAAAGAGGTGTGGGACCAGTCCGCAGGTGGGAGCGAGCAGACAGAGGGCTTAATTGGGCTTAAGCCGGAGCTGGATCCGTCTTTGCAAGGGATTATTACCCCTCCGTCTGTGCAGGCACCGCAGGAGCAGGGCAGCCCCCAGCCCCGTCCTGACCCCTGGGTCAGTGTGAGCAGAGCACAGGGTAGGGGCAGCAGCTCCCGTCAGCCTCATGGGTTGGTGTGGGGCCGGGTCAGGCACACGGACCTGCTTTCCATAAGGACACTGCACGCTGGAACAGGGATGAAAAATAGCCAGAAATATGATTAGAGGATTGGTGAAAATGCCTTAGAGTACAAGCGTTAAGAGCTCAATCTGTTTAGCCTATAAAAATAGAAGATTGAGGGGTGACTTAATTACTGAGCATAATTACTTCCCAGGCAGAAAATGCCAGGTAGTGGCAGGCTCTCCCATCCAGAAGGGAAAGGCAGCAGGAGGGTCAGCAGCAGGAGATGGATGCTGTCCCCCTGCACCTTTTGTCTCCAGCCCAGCCGTGATGGAGCCATTTTCCCACGGATGGGCACTGGGATTTGGGGCGATTGTCTGAGCTTGGCATGGAGCCTGGCTGGTGTCTGGGCCAGGAGCATCCCAGGGATGGGATGTGGGTCTGCAGCCTGCTTTTCAGGGGGATGGAGGATGGAGTGGGCACCAGCCAGGTGGGCACCACCTGCATTCCCTCTCTTCTCCCTTCTCTCTGCAGCCGGATCTGGTGCCAGGGCACAGATTTGCCCACAAGCGATGGGACAGGAGCGAAGCTTTTGATGCGTCTCCCAGGACTCCCCAGAGCCATGACTGCAACTGTGCAGACGCTGCGCTTCAAGCTGCTGCCGCACGACACAGGCCAGGAGTGGGTGCACAGCTGCCAGCAGGAGATTGAGCGCCGCTACCAGGTGGTGCCCTCTGTGGTGTGTGCCATGTGCTGCCTCTTTGGGATTATCTACTGCTTCTTTGGTGAGCCAGGCTGGGGCATAGTAGCGGGAGAGTGAGCAGGGAGGGGGAAATAGGGATGCCTGATGGCCATGTCCGCCGCTGACAGTGGTGGTCTCTCTGCAGGTTACCGGTGCTTCAAGGCTGTCATGTTCCTGACGGGACTGATGTTCGGCTCCATCATCATCTTCATGCTGTGCTACAAGGAGCGGGTGCTGGACACGCAGCTGAGCGTGGAGGCATCAGTGGGCATCGGGCTGGGCATTGGAGTGCTGTGCGGGCTGGTCACCATGCTGGTGCGCAGCGTCGGCCTCTTCATGGTGGGGCTGCTGCTGGGGCTGTTGCTGGCAGTGGCCACGCTGGTGGTGATGGAGCAGTTCTACCACCCACCTACGGTGTGGATCCCCATCGCGCTGCTGCTGGGTGTGGGGATGCTCTTTGCCGTGCTCACCCTGCAGTGGCAGCGTTTCTTCACCACCCTCTCCACCGCCGTCTTCGGCAGCGCCATTATGACCGTCACCGTCGATTACTTCATCGAGCTCTTCCTGCTGGTGCAGTACATCTACGAGCGCATCAAGGTGGCCCCCGCTCGCCCTGTGTGCTGGTACAGCTGGGTCATCCTGGGCATCTGGCCTCTGCTCACTGTGCTGGGTGTCCTGGTCCAGTGGAAGGTCACGGCCGAGGGCTACTCTCACACTGAAGGTGAGCAGAGGTTGGGGGAAAAAGGGAGAGGGTGAGGTTGGACACGATATTGGGGTGCCACCAGCGGGCAGTTTGGGTGTGACAATGTTTTGAGGTGCTGACCACCCCCCCGCCCCACAGTGATCATCAGCCGGCAGCAGCGCCGTGTGCAGCTGATGCGCATCAAGCAGCGGGAGGACCGCAAAGAGAAGAAGAAGAAGCGGAGGCCCCACCACCCACCGCCCCACCAGCACAAGGCCCACCCGCCTGAGCCTGCCTACCGCCGCAAGCCCAACCCCGTGCGCCGCTTCGATGGGGACGTGCTCTCCCCAGTGAGTCCCACGCCCAGGGTAGAGATCTCCCCAGGCCTTGGCCGGCTCTTCCTTCTGCAGGGATGGGATGGGATAGGATGGGATGGGATGGGATGGGATGGGATGGGATGGGATGGGATGGGATGGGATGGGATGGGACTGAGCGGGCTGGGAGCAGAGCCTGCTCACCCTTTGCCCCTTTCTCATGCAGAGCTATATCCAGAGTTTCCGAGAGCGGCAGACGGGGCCATCCCTCAACAGCCTCATTGCCAGCTCCCATGCCGTGGTGGACCTGGACTATGACTGCAGCTCCACTGTGCCCCTCACCACAGGCTCTGGCCCTGCCATGCGGGTATAAGCCAACCCAGTGACCTCGAGTGACACCAGCACCCCAGCCTGCTCCCACAGACCTCTTTGGACACATGGGGCTGTTTCTTCAGCCTCAGGACTGTGGAGGCTATGGATGGAGAACCTTCCTGGGGCAGCACGGGACTCATCTTGGTGAGCCCAGGATGCCCGCGGGACTCAGCCATGCTGGGGACACCCCCAGGCAGAAACTCAGCCCACGGACTGGGGCTACGAGCTCCCGTGGACTCACAGAATGTGGTGTGAGCAGCTCTGCTGCACGTTTCCCCATGACCTGGGCACACTCCTTCTGTACCCTGACACCCTCCTTTCCATGTTCAAGCCCTCCCAGAGCAGCTCCCTGTGCCTGCTCCCTCCCCATCACACCCCACAGCAACTCCCCAAGTGCCTGTCCCCATGTCCCTTCTTCAGAGAGCAGCTCCCCAAACCCCTGCTCCCACCGTGACTACCCTGAGCATGTGTGCCCCATCCCACCCCAGGCAGCACTCCCAAAACTCTGCCGTTAGAGGTTCCTGCCCTACACACCTTCCTTGCCTCCGGAGCAGCTTGCCTGCATCCCTATTTTCCTGGGCTGAAGTGGGGCAGACTTGGGCAGAGGCTGCCAGGGCATGGGGCTGCTGCTGTGGGGTAACAGCACTGGGGCTCTGCCCCACCTGGGCACTGTGCGCACTCCCCTGAATGTTTTGACGGGAGCAAGGACGCAGCCTTCAGGCAGAGGCTGGGCTGCTCCAGGGTCCCCTCGGCATCAGAGGCCATCGCTGTTTTGCTGGCGACTGGATTTTATAGCGGCTGGGGGGCCCTGGGGGCAGCACCTCTGCGGGGCAGGGCAGGAGCCCCTGCTCAGAGCATCGCTGCAGACAGAGGCTCCCACCTTGTATATACTTCTCTTGCTGTGATTTGTATTAATTTATTACGGAGTGAGCCAGGACCTCCCCGCAGGCGGGATGTGGGGGGACCAGAGTGGGGTGCCCCTGGGTGCTGTCCCGTCCCCGGCTGCCACCCCAGGAACTGCATGTTTCTGCCACGCCGTCTCTGCAGCGCCGCGCCGCCGCCGTCCCCCTTTTCAGCCTCTTTTGTAAATGTGCCAAACGCTGCTGAGGCCACGGCCACACAGTAAAGAGCCTTTCAGAATGCTGTGCCGAGGTGAGGGCTGCACCGGGGGGCTGGGGGACCTGAGGTCCGTGCACTCCGTGTGCACCCCAGCTTCTAACTCCCTGCAGGGACAAAGTGTGTTGGGGAGCAGGGGGAGCACAGACCCCCATCCAGGGATCAGATCCCCAAAGAAGGAGTGGGTGGGACAGATGGACATGGGTGCCAGTGCCACTGCATCCCTCTACATGCTCACCTTCCACCAGGAGCCGTGCGGTGGAGCGGTCATCGAAGGCATCGCAGGTGTACGAGTCCTCGTCCTCACGTCCCACACAGTGGATGATGAGTGTGCGATAGCAGTCCAGGTTGCAGATCTCATACTTATCACTGGCAAAGATCTCGGTGTCTCCACGCAGCCAGCGCACGCGGCCCCGGGCGTGTGACACCATGCACTCCAGCGTCGCCTTGTGCCGCGCCAGCACCGTCTTGTCCCGCAGTGGCTTCACAATGCGGATGGGCAGCACTGGGACACAGGGAGGGGAAATCAGCATCTGCCCCCCATGGCCCCATGATGCCACCATGCACGCCTGCTACCTTCCACCTTCAGGCTGGCCTCTGAATTAGCCATCCTGGCCGCAAAACGGATGGCACCCGCATCTTCAGGGCACACGGTGCAGAGCAGCAGGAAGTGCCGTGTGCCTGGAGAGGGGGGTGGAGGTGGTTGGGCACATTGAATTCCCACATCCCCAGCCCCAAAATGGGGTATGGGGCATGCTGCCCAGTGTGGGAGGCACAGTACCTTCTTGCCGTATCTTCACCGTGCTGGACACCTTGATCTTCTCCCCATCACGGAACCACTCACCCAGAACATCACCATGGGACACCTCACACATGAACACGGCATTGTCACCTTCCTGCACACAAGCATCTTGCAGCTCCTGCATTATGTGGACCTGGTGCTCTGCAGGACAGGGACACAGTGCTGAGGCCAGCTGGGTGCCAGTCCCTTCTGTGGCATGAAGCTGGGCAGCCAGCAACCATACCATGGACACGCAGTGTGGCGGAGGCCTGGCAGTCACCTGCCTCACAGGTGTAGATGCCGGCATCAGGCAGTGCACAGCGGTTGAGCTGCAGGAGGCGGCGCCGACCCGCAGAGTACATGCGGCAGTGGGGGCCTGGCCGCAGCTCCATTCCATCCTGAGTAGGCAGTGTGGTCAAGGTTGGCTTGGTTGGTTCCCCCCACCCTGCGCACAGCCTTGCAGAGAAGGTGGCACCTGGGGGATAAGGGAAGGTGGCACCTGGATGGGGAGGACATGAGCTCTCACCTTGAGCCACTTCACCTCAGCGCTGGGACGGGACAGCTCGCATTCGAAGGTGGCAGTCCCTGCCTCTGGAACCTCCAGGTCCTGCAGGAGCTTCACCATGCTGATGGGAGGCTCTGAGGGGAGACAGTGTGGTGGGAAGGGTCAATGAGGGAAAGGCATTGGTACCAGGGCACAGGGGCAGTGCCTGGGGTATCAGTACTGGGTAGGGGTGACCCTTCCCTGGGCACTTCTATAGGCGAGCTCCTATCTATAGGCTAAGCACCCATCTCCTCAATGGGAAGGTTGTGTGCCCTGCTCAGCCTTGGCATCACACCCCCAGTGCCATACCCCATTACCCCAGTGCCATACCCCGCACGAGCAGGCGGGCGCTGCAGCGCAGATTGTCAGCAGTGAAGGTGATGGTGCCTGAGTCCTCCAGTGCCAGCCCCTCCAGTGTCAGGCTGTGTGTACAGCCCGTGGCACTGACCCGGCATGTGGCACTGGGCTTCACCAGCACACCACCACGTGTCCAGACCCCAGGCACACCGGCGTGAGACAGCTCCAGCAGGAAGGTGGCTGTCTGCTTCTCAAAGGTCTCCACATCAGCCAGTGGCCTCCGGATTGACACTTTCTGGGCTGCGAGGGATGGGGACAGTGCTGACGAGTGGTGCCCTAGCACAGAGCCTCTTATCCCCAGTCTTTGCTGGAGCAATCCCCAAATACAGTCCTTGTTCCTGGGCGTCCCGTAGCATCCTGTCAGCAGGATGATCCTGCAGGGTACTCACGTTCCACACTGAGTTTGGCCTGTGTGCGGTCGTGCAGGCTCTCGCAGCGGTAGGTGCCACGGTCAGAGGGGCTGACACAGCAGATGGTGAGGGTGCGCCGGCACCCCGACTCACACATCAGGTACTTGTCACTGGGCTGCAGGAGCACACCTTGCTTCAGCCACTGCACCTCAGCTGCTTCATGGCTCACCTCCACCTCCAGGCACACATCCTGCTGCTCCTCGGCCACCATGTCCCGCAGCTTCTGCACGAACAGCACCTGCGCCTCTGCACGGATGAGGGGATCAGTGCACAGCCCTCCAGATGCCCCATTGCCCTGTTCCTATCCTGCTCACCTTGCACACTGAGCCGGGCTGTGCTCAGCAGCCCCTCAGCATTGGCTGTCACAGTGGCTGCATCGCCTGGCTGGCAGCCCCGCATGGTGAGGCTATGGCACAGCCCACTCCTGGCCACCTGCAGCCGCTCACTGGGCACAACTGGCTGCCCATCCAGCTGCCATGTCACCGCCACGTCCTCGGGGGACACCATGCACTTGAAGGTGGCATCGTCTCCCTCCAGCACCATCAGGCTCTGCAGCTCCACAATGATCTCCACCACTCTGCGCACTGAGTGTGGCCATCAGGGCACATGCCCACAGCACAGGGTTTTGGGGTACCCAGCCCACGGGGTAATGCTTACCCTGCACTGTCAGCGTGGCCAGCGTGCGGTCATTGTTGGACTCACAGCAGTACTCCCCAGCGTCCTCAGGCCTCACACAGCTCAGCACCAGTGAGCGCTCCCGGCCCTGCACCCGGACCTCGCGGCGTGCATCAGGCTCCAGCACCCGCCCATCCTTCAGCCACACCACATCGCCACGGGCCTTGCACAACTCGCACCACAACACCACTGTCTCACCCTGCTGTGCCCGCACATCCGAGAGCCCACGCAGGAACTTCACCTGCAGCTCTGCACAGACAGCCATCAGCATGCACATACCCCCAGCACCGTGCTGTGCATCCCCCTGCCACCAGCGCTCACCCCGCACGCTGATGTCGAACTGCATCTGGTCATCAGGGGACAGGCAGGTGTAGACTCCAGCATCCTCCTTGGCCACATTGCTGAGGACCAGGCTGTGCACACGGCCATCACAACGCAACTGGCAGCGCTCACTGGGTACCATGAGCTGCTGGGGGCACAGCCAGGTGATGTCAGCTCGCTCCTTGGACACGACAGCTGAGAGCACGGCACTACCACCCTCCAGCACCAGCAGCTTCTCCCGCTCCTCCTGCTTGTTCACAAACAGCACCGGTGCCTCTGCACCAGGAGCAGAGCTCAGCCCAGGGTTGGGGACATAGGTCCTGCTCTGCAGGGGGCATCTCCATAGGCTCACCTTTCACATGCAGTGTGAAGTACACCTCGTCATCCCCAGCATCGCAAAGAAAGGTGCCGGCATCCCCCAGTTCCACCTGCTTGATGGTAAGGCTGCGTGCTGGACCCTCACTGCACACCAGCAGCCGCCCACCTGAGAGCAGCATCTGCCCATCCTTCTGCCACTGTGTTACCGCAGTCTCTGGGGACAGCTGGGCCACCAGTGTCACACTGTCTCCCTCCTGCACCTCCAGTGGGCTCTGTGCTTCCTCCTTGTTCACAATTCGCACAGCCTGGGCTGGGAGACATGGGCAGGGGTGGCACTGCTGATGGCAGGGATGGCTGCAGTGCCCACTGGTGTGACTTAGGGGCTTGAGTTGGCGTGGTGATCATGGTGGCACTAGCTGGCTGGGTGTCTGTGGGACTGGCTGACTGAGGCTGGCAGCTAAGGTCCCTCTGAGGAAGGGATCCCAGCAGGGATGCTGGCAGAGCCCACTCCTCCATCCTTCACAGCTGCTGAATTAAGGTCATGGATTTTTGCCCCTCACCAGCCCCAGACCTTTTTGGGAGCTGGGATACCCACACAGCCTGCTGTGCTGATAAAGGCCTTGCTGAGCTCAGCCCTTGGCAGCCAAAGCAGGAGGAGAGGCGCCTGGGAGCCTGCCAAGGATAAATTTAACCAGCCTCCGCCTGGGGGAGTTGGGAGGCATGGGTCTGATGGCCCTGACCTGCCCCTTCCAGGCTGACAGCTCTTTGGAGACAGGGCTCTCGCCCTCACCTGGTGCTGCCAACCATTGTCCTGCCACCCTCGCTCACCTGTCACCTCCACGCTCGTCACCATGCGGTCGCTGGCAGCATCACAGACGTAGTACCCTGAGTCCCCGGGCTGTGCTCTGTGCACAGTGAGCTCCCGCAGTGCCCCATGGGCCACAATGCACACCCGCTCCCCTGGCTGCAGCTCCTGGCCATCCCGCAGCCAGCGCACGGCAGCATTGGGCTGGGACAGCTCACAGGCCAGCACCAGGTCCTGCCCAGCCACCAGGCAGCGATGCTCTGTGGTGCCCAGGTTCCCCACGATGCTCACTGGTGGCTCTGGGGCTGGAGAGACACACCGTGACACTGGGTGCTTGCCTACCCATTCAGCCCATCTCCACTTTATATGCTCCCTGTTACCTTCCACGGTGACGCAGAAGATGACACTGTCATCTCGGGTGTCACAGAGGTACTCCCCCGCATCCCCATCTGTGGCACCCAGGATGACAAGTGCCCGGCGCTGCCCATCCTCCTCCAGCCGCACATGCCCCGTGTCCTGCAGCTTCTCCCCGTCCTTGTACCACTTCACCTCCCCATGGGCGTGTGACAGCTGCACCTCCAGCACCAGATCCTCCATGGCCCGGCAGCGTCGGCAGGTTGGCAGTGCATCTTTCTCCAGGATCCTGATTGGAGGGTCTGTGGCACCGCTCGCCAACACAGAGTCAACATTAGCATTGGCCAGGAGCCCTCACGTGAGAGCAGACCTAGAGTGGGATCCTAAGGGGAGGGGGCTGCTGCCACCCTGCCCTATCTATGCACCCCGTGCCCCATGTTCTCGCTCACCTGACACCTGGACAGTGAATGTCACCGCATCATCAGCTGCATCGCAGAAGTATTTTCCAGCATGCTCAGCTTGAGCAGCAGGGATGAGCAAGCGACGGTGGGCACCATCCTCCTCCAGCACCCAGCTGCCCCCCGCCTCCAGCTGGACACCCTCCCTGGCCCAGCACACAGGTGCATCAGCACGGGACAACTCACAGGACAGCATCACCGTCTCCCCTGGGGACACCTTTACAACAGGTGGAGGTCTCTGTGGCTGCAGGATCTTCACTGGGGGCTCTGCAAGAACAGCATGGCACTGGTGCAACACGGCACAGGAAATGAGTGGGGGGAATGGGGGTTGCACCGGTGCTTCCTCACTAACCTGTCACCTTGACATCGAATGAGACAGCTTCATCCTTGCTCTCACAGATGTACTCCCCTGTGTCCTCAGCACTGCTCCTGGGGATGAGCAGGCAGCGCCAGGCACCATCAGCCAGCAGCCGCAGGTTGTTGGTCTCATCCACCTCCAGCCCATCCTTGAACCAGCGCACAGCAGCATCAGGCACAGACAGCTCACAGCGCAGCTCCACATGCCCCGGCGCCAGCACTGGCAGCTCCAGCGAGCGCTGCACAGGGTGCAAAATCCTCACTCGTGGCTCTGCCAGTGCACAAAGGAAGGAGGTAAGGATGCACATATCCCTGCTTACCCCCACTGCAACCCTAACCACAGGGCTGTGCAGGTGCCGGGGCACTGCCCCAGCGCAGTGACGCAACAACTGGAGGGCAGGAGCAGAGGGAAAATGCCCCATGTCAGCAGAGGTGCACATGTGCTTATTGTGCACAAGTGCCACAGCCAGGAGCCCCTTCCAGGAGCCCATAGATCAGCAGCAGCACACTTCCCCAAATGCTGTCCCAGCTGTGTCACCCACCTGCGACCATGATGTGATAGGAGGCAGCAGTGTCACCAGTGTCACAGACAAACTCCCCTGCATCCTGCGGGCAGGCGCAGGGCAGCACCAGGCAGCACCGCGGCCCCTCGCGCTCCAGCACCAGGCTCTCACCCTCCTCCACCTCCTCCCCATCCTTGTACCAGCGCACTGGGGCCTTGGCATGGGACAGCTGGCACCACAGCTCCACACGCT